GAAGGCCCCCAAATGGTCCTGTTCTCTATCCGACGGCATCCCGTGGAGTGTGATCTTTGTTTTCTGCGTGCCTAAATTTTGTATTGAGAATACACCCGGTCAGAGCTTCCGTCTCCTTAGTAGTGGCCAGCAGAATACCTCACATTACATTAGAACCTCGGGCCAGTATTTTTGACAGTATATCGAGGCTCTTCAGTGTTTCCTCCATTTTCACCCTTCCGACGCCGATCAATATTCTCATCTTTACATCTGTGGTCAGAAAGGAAATTGTTCTATAAGACACAGCCTCAAAGACAGGGGCAATGGTAACAACGCATTCGCATGGCTTATTTACATTATTCCGACTGTTATCGTCATCTCCATTGCCATATTCACAACGTTTCGGCGTTGTACACTCCGGCCTTCTTCAGGTGATTGGAATTTCGAACCCTTCATTTCATCCATTTTGTTCTTGTAGGAAGAGGACACTTTTATTGCGAAATTTTTTCACTGGTAATGACAGCCGAAAATAAATATATATAAACATTTGATATCAAATAAAACCTAATTTCTCCAAAATTATGCTTCGAAAATCATACTCGCCATGAAAGATAGTATTTACGTCCGATGTGTTGGGAAGAGCAATACATACGCATTTTTGTTATCCTTAATATAAAACAACAGAACAATAGTATGCTTGCAGGATTTTAAGAAAAAAACATTGCTTATAAAATGATATAATGCATGGAAAAGTTCTGACATATTCTTTTCCAGGTCATATTTGCGTATTATACGCATGTAAAAATATAGGAAAAACGTACATTATCATAAAAACAACACCGGTTTTATTTATTGCACCATGAAAAACAATAATTGTTTATTCTAATTCTATAGTTGTAATAATAATTATATTAAAAAATAGATTATATTTTAATTCCCTATGATATAATCAAAAGAGATAAAACCTTGTCCTCATAAATATCAATACTGGTTCGAAAGATTGGTGACATTGTAATTCTAAGTTCAATCTCTAGGTAGATTGAGCCGAATAAGGTGGAATGAAAACAATGCGAGCAACAACTAAAGTGCATTAAATAAGAACAAGACGAGATGATTCTTGACATTCCCTGATTTTGGTTGTTTTGTTTTATGGCATATCAATCTCAGTGGGTCATTTAATGCCAACAAAATTTTGAAATAGATTCATAGCGATAGTTTGGTTTGATTTGTTTTACGGCATATCAAACTCAATGGGTTATTTAATACTAACAACGTTTTTCCTGGTTTTGTCAAAAATTTATTTCTGGTAATATTTTTTTCCTTAAAAATGTATAGCTGGTAATATTATTTTAAAAATTATTGTTGGTAATATTTTTTTCCAAAAACGTATTGCTGATGGTATTTTTTTTTCAAAAATATATTGCTGGTAATATTTTTTTTTCTTCAAAAATTTATTTCTGGTAATAATTTTTAACAAAGTATTTCTGATATTAAAACCAATTTTTTACACTTTCATAATGATTTTACCTCAGTTTTGGGGTTAAATATTTGCCCATGGCTAGGAACACCAGCAACTAAAAGGTGATTCCACGCTCCGCCAAACCTTCTGATCAGAGGCTTTGCTGTTGGATGTGGCTTATCGTTTTACCGTGGATGCGGATGTAGTTTATCGTTATACCTAGGACGGACATTCCCTGAAGATTAGCCGGATCGATAAATAGATGAAGAAGGCAGAAGAGCCGAAACGCTATGATAATAACAAGAAACATGGAAATAACAGCTTAAATATAAATAATAAAATTGATTTATTGAGAAAATGATTTTAATGTTGCCAATGACGACATTTCTTTTATATATTATACTTTAAATTTTTAAATGTTTCTTCGTTGATTGCCGTCATTATTCTGATATGAGATCAAAGAAATAAGTTAAAGTGTATGATTATTTTGATAGAGAGTATATTCAAATAAAACACATTTCTAGAAGGTGTAATTCGCTGGAAACTATACAAACTACGTGAATATGAATAACTACCTACATAATAGAAACAGAGAAAATATTCTTCAAAATTGTTTTAGGCGCGAAATGAATTGTAGAGATTGCTTTTGCTACCTGATAGAATTGTGGAATAAGAAGAAAATGAGCATTCTACTAATCATTGCACGTTAGAAAACGAATCGGAACACCTAAAAAAGAAGAATTAGAAATTCAAAGGAGAATTAAGTAAATAATTTTTTAGATAAAATATAAAACAATACCATTTGTTTAGTAGTTTGCTGTCTGGTATTTGCATATTGTTAGGAAAATTTTGGAAATATATTTAAAAATACACTCAATTCTTTATTGTTTATTTTTTTTAATGCAGGTTTGCTTATAAAATATAAATTCGACATTTTCTACTCTCCGTGTTGGATCTGAAGGCAAGATGTTCAGCAAGGAATCATTGAAGCTTATGATAAAGATGGTGTTATTGTGAACTTTTATCAATGTTGTTTTGCGAAGATTTTTTTTAAAAATGTTAGGGGGTAAAAACAGTAGTCTTAAAATTTTGAAAACTCGTCAAGCGGATGAAGGACTGAAAGAAAATTAAAAAAAAAAACTAATTGAAATGAATCAATCAATATGTTTAGATAACATAAAAGATCATTTTTTTTACTGTCGTATTGAAATTTTGCTTTATAGCAATACAACTATGTCGGAGCAAATGTTGATGTAATTAGCATGGAAACTTCGGACGTGCTAGGAACGATTAAAAAATGTAAAAAAATAGCCAAAAATACTTTGATCTTTCCTCTTAATAAGAATATGAATATTTAGACGATAAAATTTTGTTTTCGTCAAGTTTGGCGTCTTTTTCATCATGCTATGCTCTTTTTTAGCGATCAAATTGAGGTACCTAAATCTATATAATTTCTATCTGAAAAACACCAGAATATTTTACTTAATGGAAATAATAAATTTAATTATTAAGCTTTTAATTAAATCTAAAATGAAATCTTCACGAACACAATTTATTTTATATTTTGTTCCATAGTTCAGCGACGCAGTATGTTCAAAATTTTGAACTATTATAGAGATATAATAGGAAATATTATAGAAATATTATAGATTTTAATAGAAAATATAGAAATATCCATACAATTTAGAAACATTTTTTTATAACGGAATGCATATATTACCCAGAAACAGGCCTCAAGTCTTAGAACTCCACTTTTGATTAATTGATGAACTGACTGATAATTTTTATGGTTTTACCTATTGTCGGTTATTTCAAGTGAAGTAGTATTTTGGCTTGTAAAAACAATTCTTTTTTTTATTTTGGTGAGTAAATATTTAATTAACTATATTTTGGAGACAACAACGATGTTTCCAGATACAAGTCCTACTATTTACCCTATAACTGGAGGAAGGAGATGGATCCATACTTCTCCAAATGGTATTTGCGCATAGGTGAATTTAATAAACTCGTGTAGAATTCGAACTCGACTCGCCGATTTCCCATTCCAAGCCGCTATCCATTAACAGCGCATCCCATAGAAAGCCGAGTGGAATGTTGTTATGAATTTATACTAATTCAAAAAAAGTATGCAATTCTACAACAGAATATATTCATACTGATTCGGTTTAATTATAAATGATAAAGAATATACATCGTAAAAAAATTCAGTATATTTAAAAATGGGGGATATACATCTTCAAATGAGAGCAAAATTAAAACCTTATCCTATAAGATCACCTTCGATTTCGCTTCGAGACTAACCGCACAACAGAATCAGGTATTTTACATTCATATCGAACATTACATCTACAATTTAGCCTTTCAATGTGTTCTTGGTAGTGTGGTTGTTTTCCGTGTCGATTTTCCCTGATGTCTAGAATAGTTTGACTGATTCATATTTTACAGCTTATTAACCTTTTGCAGGTTATTTAAATACAAAAATATTGTAAGAATATTTTGCAGTTAATAATGATTTTACTGATACAATTTCAAATTCGGAGTCATTATCTATTTAAACCAGCCTCACATCCAAGCTTACAGTATCTTGTATTTCCCAGATGATCACCCATCTAGGTACTGACCAGGTTCGATGATGCTTAACTTCGTTGATCGATCGGGGGGCATTAACGCGATATTGCCGTAAACCAAGACGTTCCGAATATTCGAATCAGAAGAGCTGGGCAATCACGTTGTCAAGTAGGGGATTATATCCAAAAGCCTAAACCCAACCTGCAGTATAATTATCGACAACAATGATCTGTATCACCACAAATTTTGTGAAGTCTAAGCAGACTAAATCTTAAAGGATCGGACAAGATTTTCCCGCTCTTCGGACAAGGATAATATTTTAGTAGATGTTCTATCTTCTTCCTCTTATGGAGGAAGCCGTTTTCCGGAGATTCCTACTCTGTATCAGCACCTCCCTCGTTGCACTAAAAAAAAAGAGGGTTGGTGGAAACCGGCAACAGCGTAACAATTGTCGAGGGTACTGGGGAAGTTTCGACGTTGCTCTATAAATACACTTATGAGAACCTCCCATAAAAATGACCTTTGTCATATCCTCTCACCGTGGAAAGGTGAATATATATCGGGCTTTGGGCTGTGGTCAAAATTTAGTATCTGTTCTCCTCCCCTCTAAAATATAGAGAAGATCTGGTGGTGTGATTCTATGCCTATTTCAGCATTTTCAATGCTCTTGGGGAGGGGGCAATTTTTTTTTTTTCTTAGGTTATATATGTCAGCTTAAATAAAACCGAGAAAGTGACACATCCTATCACCGTAAGTGGGATAGGTAACTACCATCAAACTAATTTGATCGGACCTTCGATCTTGGATCAAGATGTAGTATGTGTTCCAGTTCATCAGCTATGGTTCTGCTTTGGGCAGTACAGGGAATATGAAGGTCGGTTCACGAGGGTTCCAACCCTGCGACAGCACCTCCTCCACTGTACTAAAAGGGAAGCGTTGTAGTACAAAGCTCTGCAGGTCTGGGAAGAATTTTGTCTTTAAACACTATGGTCTCATGCAAACTAGTGACATGAAACCGACAACGTGCCATTTCCGCGTAGATTTATTATGGGGTGGGAGATTGATACCGACATGTCTTATCATTCTTCCGATTTATGTTCCTTTACTCAGTACTTCTTCGCATCTCTGGGACACGATTTCTAATATTTTAAGGCCTTTTGCTTTGATCTATCACTTTCTCTCTTATTCTGTCTCTCTCACACACACACATTTTCTTTCTCTTTCTCTCTCACTCTTTCTCTTTCTCTCTTTGTCTTTCTCTCCCTCTCTTTGTCTTCCTCTCCCTCTCTTTGTCTTCCTCTCCCTCTCTTTGTCTTTCTCTCCCTCTCTTTCTCTTCCTCTCTTTGTCTTTCTCTCTCACTCTTTCTCTTTCTCTTCCTCTCCCAACTGTTTGTCTCTCTTCCTCGCTTTGTCTTTCTCTCTCTTTGTCTTTCTCTTCCTCTATTTGACTTTCTCTCTCTCTTTTTCTTTCTCTTCTTCTCTTTTTCTTTCTCTCTCACTCTTTCTCTTTCTCTTCCTCTCCCTCTCTTTGTCTCTCTTCGTCACTTTGTCTTTTCTCCCTCTCTTTGTCTCTATCTTTCTCTTTTTGTCTTTCTCTCCTTCTGTTTGTCTTTCTCTTCCTCTCTTTGTCTTTCTCTCTCACTCTTTCTCTTTCTCTTCCTCTCCCTCTCTTTGTCTCTCTTCCCTCTTTGTCTTTCTCTCTCACTCTTTCCAGTTCTCTTCCTCTCTTTGTCTTTCTCTCTCTCTCTCTCTCTTCCTCTCTTTGTCTTTCTTTCCCTTTTTGTTTTCTCTTCCTCTCTCACTCTTTCTTTTTCTCTTTGTCTCTTTGTCTTTCTCTTCCTCACTTTGTCTTTCTCTCTCACTCTTTCTCTTCCTCTCCCTCTCTATGTCTCTCTTCGTCTCTTTGTCTTTCTCTTTCTCTTTGTCTTTCTCTTCCTCTCTTTCTCTTCCTCTCTTTCTCTTCCTCTCTTTCTCTTCCTCTCTCTCTTTGTCTTTCTCTTTTTCTTTCTCTCTCACTCTTTCTCTTTCTCTTTGTCTCTTTGTCTTTTCTCCCTCTCTGTCTCTGTCTTCCTCTTTTTGTCTTTCTCTCTCTCTCTTTGTCTTTCTCTTCTCTTTTTCTTTCTCTCTCACTCTTTCTCTTTCTCTTCCTCTCCCTCTTTTTGTCTCTTTTCGTCTCTTTGTCTTTCTCTTTCTCTTTGTCTTTCTCTTCCTCTCTTTGTCTTCCTCTCTCTCTTTGTCTTTCTCTTCTTCTCTTTTTCTTTCTCTCTCGCTCTTTCTCTTTCTCTCATTGTCTTTTCTCCCTCTCTGTCTCTGTCTTCCTCTTTTTGTCTTTCTTTCCTTCTGTTTGTCTTTCTCTTCCTCTCTTTGTCTTTCTCTCTCACTCTTTCTCTTTCTCTTCCTCTCCCTCTCTTTGTCTCTCTTCCCCTCTTTGTCTTTCTCTCTCAATCTTTCCATTTCTCTTCCTCTCTTTGTCTTTAACTCTCTCTTTGTCCCTCTCTTTGTCTTTCTCTCCCTTTTTGTCTCTCTCTTCCTCTCTCACTCTTTCTTTTTCTCTTTGTCTCTTTCTCTTCCTCTCTCTCTCTCTCTCTGTCTCTCTTCCTCTATTTGTCTTTCTCTCTCACTCTTTCTCTTTATCTTCCTCTCCCTCCCGTAGTCTCTCTTTCTCTCTTTGTCTTTCTCTCCCCACCTCTTTGTTTTTCTCTTCCTCTCTTTGTCTTTTCAGCGTCTGCGTTTTCAGTTTTATAAATATCTTCCGTAAATTTTACTTTTCTTTTTTTATTTTTATTTTTATTTTTTTATTTATTTATTTATTTTTGGTGGGTGGAGGTTCTATTTTATTTTTGCATCTCTTACATTTCTTTAAGTTTCGCTGTTTCCACCTCTGCCTCTCTCTCCCTCAATCTCTTTTTCTACCTCTCTATCTGTGTCGATCTATCTTCCCCCTCTCTATCTCTATCTCTCTCTTTCTCTCTCACTATCTATCTATCTATCTATCTATCTATCTATCTATCTATCTATCTATCGTTTTATGTCGTTTCTTTAATCTGTGCATGTCAGTTTCCAAACTTATGAAGAGTTATTATTTTAAACATGTCTTTTTCTTCACATGTCCCCTCCAAATTTCTCTCTTCATCTCACGCTATACTTCTCTTCTCTCCTACCTCTCTCACTCTCTTTGTAGACACCCTCTCACATATTAACTCACACATACGCACACAAACAGCACAAACACGAACACACGAGGTTAAGTCAAAAATTATCCGCACTTCCGGCATAACATATCTTTAGACAGGAGAGCGGATAATTTTCTTTTTACTCATCCCCTTATATACATATTTATAGACATACATACAAACACACTCACCCACACCCACACTCACACACCCACATATATATATATATATATATATATATATATATATATATATATATATATATATAGAGAGAGAGAGAGAGAGAGAGAGAAAAAAATTACAACCAATGTTAAATGCGCATAAAACGGCGAGGTCCGCCTACGAAACTTTGGAGTCGGGATGTTGAAGGTAAGTGACAAACATATATATATATATATATATATATATATATATATATATATATATATATATATATATATATATATATATATGGGTGACTGGAACGTTTGGGCCCTACCCATTTCCGAATGACCAATCAAAGGATAATTTTAAGGACGCACATTTTCCGAATGAGAACTTTTTTATATATATATATATATATATATATATATATATATATATATATATATATATATATATATATATATATATTCATGAGGGGGTCATTTTCCTTTCTGTCCCCTGCTATTTTAACTTTTAGATCCTGCCTCTTTCTCATTTTCATATCTTTCTTTTCCTTTTACATCAACAATTTACTCTTCTCAATTTTCATCCTTCTGTATCTCCCATTACAGTGAATTTCTCTCACCGGCTTCCTTTTTTCTTTTCTTTTTTTTTTTTTTTCTCCCATTCCGTGTTTCTTCTATTTTATTTTGCTTTGTCTTCCGGTAATCCATTAGTTGTATTTCTTCCTCTTTTTTCCCTGAATATATGTTTCTTTTTTTTATTAATTTTCCTTCCTTCCTTCATCCTTCCTTCCTTCCTTCCTTCCTTCATTCATTCATTCATTCCTTCATTCATTCATTCATTCCTTCATTCATTCATTCCTTCATTCTTTACTTCCTTCCTTTCTGCCTTCATTCCTTACTTCCTTCTTTCATTCCTTTCTTCCTTCCTTCCTTCCTTCCTTCCTTCCTTCCTTCCTTCCTTCCTTCCTTCATTCCTGCCTTCCCTCCTTCATTCCTTCATTCCTTCCTTCATTCTTTCATTCCTTACTTCCTTCCTCCCTTCCTTCATTCCTTACCGCCTTCCTTCATTCATTCCTTCATTCTTTACTCCCTCCCTTCCTTCCTTCCTTCCTTCCTTCATTCCTTCCTCCCTTCCTTCCTTCATTCCTGCCTCCTTTCCTTCATTTTTTCATTCCTTACTTCCTTCCTTCCTTCATTCCTTACATCCTTTATTCCTTCCTCCCTTCATTCATTCCTTCCTTTATTCCTAGCTTCCTTCCTTCATTCCTTCCTTTCTTCCTTTCTATCTTTCTATGTCTAATTTGTTATGTTTTCTTTCAAATAATTCCTACATCTTTTTCCATTCATCTGTTTTTTCCTTATTTTTTATTTTACACGCATTCACACTTTCATTCTCTTTCTTTTTCTCGTCTTTCTTTCACAATACTTCTCGCTACATCTTTTTAAACAAATTTTACACATTACTGATGTAATCTATTTACATTTCTTTCATCCACGTTATTTGTCATTCTCTCTTCCCTTTTCTCACTCTCACTCACACCTCCTTTCTTTCTTTCGCATATTCCTTTTCCTATTTTTTCCCTTTCTTACTACTTACCAAACGTTCTTTGTTCCGCTCCAGTTTATTTTCTTCATTCTCTCTCTTTTTTTTCTGTCTATTGGCTCTTTCTCCTGCTTATATCATCACTGTTTCGCATATATGTGAGCATGCGCAGACGCTCAAAAATGTAGCCGTTGTTGTTTTTAAACGGAAGGTTTTAGCGCGTCGTTTCACGGTCCAGCGATCTCGTAACATCTTCCACAGTGCGTCGAGATGACGCCGTGAGCGATTTTTGAAGGGAAGATGCTGATGCAAACAGGCGAAGGAATGGATGAACTTATCGAATTTCGTTCATCTCTCGCGTCATATCAAACGGAAGCGAAACACACCCACACGCACGCATAGTGACAGGAGATTGGCGCATGCGTGCTCGTCACTCCCGCCATCTCTCGCACGCACATATTGTATACACGCATAAACCGTTGTTTGAGCATCTTGCACGCATCAGAGGATAAAATAAACGCATACGTGCAGATTTACCTAAATATGGGCAAGTACGCAACCATTTACGTCTTTAAACAGGTTTTAAGGCCTTGACACATTTTAACATTCAAAAGCGCATAAAGATATGTGTCAAAACGAATAGCAGAGGTATCATCAAACATATTCGGGTCTTCAATTTTCTTTATAAAGGGTCAAACACAAGAAAGACATAATGTATTAATGATTGGGCATCACCATTTCGGGAATCAATAATACGTTTCAACCAGTAATCGCTCACTAATTTCCACGAAGGCATTTTCAAACTTCCTAGTCGCTGCACGAACTATTGTTTGTTGGTGCTGGCTATTGCATCTGCTGTTTTTTAACACTTTAAAATATTAATTTCTACTTGTCTTTCTGCATTTTTATTATAGCCTACGACGTTTAGCCCCAGTCGTGGATCCAATTAATACAGGAAGTGCTTCTCGTTGCCTGAAGCGCAAACGTCATACATTGACAATAAGAGATGAGGTATAACTTCTGAAAAAAAAAATGATAGCGGTGTCTGCGAGGAGACTAAGCGATGATATACAGCATGGGTTCATGTGAAAAAACAAAAAAAAATAATATGACCAACAGTAATCTTTCATGATCAATTATCCGGTTATGCGTATCTATTTGGTGCCGGATAAGTGATGGTATCTCATGTAAATGTATCTAGGTAAAAATTTGCATGCACTAATTTTTGGTCAGCGAAAGCAAAAGAACTGGAGGTTGCGATGGCAGAATGATTTGGCTAATTGCTCACTCACCTATTTTTTCTGCCAATCATATAAGCATTTTGTTTTACGTAACGCCTCCTTCCTACCTCAAAGCCAGACACCATCCTTGAACCAAATGCTTATTTGTGTCAAGAGTCTTCTCGGTAATCGCTCTCCAACGGGATTATCCGTAGCTGTTAAATGTTGTTCTTTCTTTTTGCAAACGCAATATATGCACTCTTTGTCTAATCATACGTGTTCAGCTTCAGGAGTCTTAGTGTTACGGTTTTGAAATCATAGTTGTATTTTCCTGGAGCTGTTGCTAAACACAGCTAAAGAAACTAGTCTGTCCTGCTATTTAAAAGTTATCCGGTAGGCTAAGCATTTACCTCACTTATTTTCAACTCTAGGTCCTCTTTTCCCACAGATGCAACGTTGCAGGCATCTTGTTACATTGTTGTTATTACCAAAACAATCAGATGATCTCCAGTTTCTATTCCACGAGTTCAGATATTTCCCACTAAGAGACGCTATGCCACTTCCTCAGAGTCGATTCATTTTCATTTCTCTTGATTCCAAATATAAGAAGAAAACATTTTAATAAGAACTACTACATTGGGAAACAGAAGCTTGTGCGTATGGTTCTCTGAATTCGATAATCTTAATCACGTCAAATCAAATATCAATCGTTATCTATCCTCCATATCCTCCTAATTTTCACATTTAATTCCCTCCTCTTTCATTCCTATCATACAACTTAACAATAGAAATTTTAACAATAATCCTCGACCTTGAGTGGCTCTCTTTCCTTTTACTGGGGGAACTTTTATAAATAAAAAAAAACACCGTAGACTATTTGTAACTAGTCAAATTACAAAATCAACATTGTAAATATAAAGTCATATATACCATCAGATTTTGTAGTTTTCCTCAGAAAATGTTTTGAAATTTTTTTAGCGAAAATATAGATTTACCTATTTGCCAAAAGTAGACATATACATTTGAAGTGGTCTAAAATATTACGAACTGATTATAAACAATTAAACGTAATTAATAAACATTAATCGCGTCAACGTTTCATTCTCATTTTTAAAGAACTATACACCGACAAATCCGCCATCTTAGCTGATCGATATTTTTGAGTCAATTCTCAAACTATTTGCATACATTTTCTCATAACCACATTGATATTTCTGGAATAACATGTGTTATTCTTGGATTTCTCCAAAGAACTTTTTTTTAATGCGTAGCCAATGTTTTTGTTTTTTTATGCTTCGCCAAAAAAAGTTTATTGAGATCGATCTGGCAAACGCCAAGCAAATGTCCTTCATCGATCACTTCATCTGTCTGAGAAATATAAAAATTAAACAAGGTAAATATGAAAAACTATATTTGCAAGCAAGATTTTATTTTATAAATGCTTCAAATATCAGCTTTTTACGGGTTTATTAAATGTGGATAACATAAGAATTATTGCCGAGTTCAAATTCTCGTAGAGTCTGTTCACTTTCACATTAATGCTGCTAGGAAAGTCATGAATCGATGCCTTCTCTACATCTCCGATTCATGGGATTAATGACTGGGTATATTGGTCTCTCTAACCTATGGAATTAACTAAATTTAAAACCGTGGTGAAGGCAATTGGAAACTAATCTATCTTCCCCATGAAGTTATGGCAATTCATATATAATTAAGATAATAACTACTGCATATTTTTTAATTGATTTGAATAACTTGAAATTTATATATTAATTCCGTTGAAAGCTTTTCTAACCAACCTCTCTTCGTAGATACATTAATAATTTCGTCTCCTAATAATGAAAAAAGCCTTTTAACATATTTGTTGATAGTTTCGATTTTGTCAAGGCGCTGAATTCAATGATGAATAGTAATCTCTGACATAGAAAATACAATGGAAACTTAAGATGAAGTTTAGCTTATTTATTTATATTTATTCAATCTCGTATTTATTCAATCTCGTATTTATTCAATCTCGTATTTATTCAATCTCGTATAACATATAGAAATAATGAAAACATGACGATCTTATTTAATTTCTTGTGATCTGCATATACAGAAAAAAAAGTTTGTTAAAGAACGGAAGACCGGTGATTGCTGCGGGAAAAGACATGTTTTCGCAGAGAAAATAAAATGTTTCATTCATAAAAACAGAATTTTGAACATAAAAATCAGTTTTAACACACATAAGCGTCAGAAATATATTCATTGTTTTCTTCTATATACTATGATAAATCTTAAGTTTATAAATTAAGGCGAATAAAATATTAAAAGTAATAAGTAACAAATAAAATCACACGATTAAAACAAAATACGAAAAGAAAATAATGTAACGAATATAAAAGGTAAGAACCTCCAGATCATCTGAATTTCCTCGTAAGATATTTGCTTGCTGATTAAATCTAAAGTTTCACATTTTCATTTAAAGGAACAACTTTATTAGTTCACCTTGGTATATACTTCTAGAAATATTAATCTTACACCCTGTAACTAAAACAAAATCTAAGAATTTTTTTGTTTGTTTCTGTCGTTCATCTAAGGTAACTGAATCAATAGGAACGAAAACCCGAGGAAAAGAAGTACCGTATTTAACGGCATATAAGACGCACTGGTGTATAAGACGCACCCCAATTTCAGCAGGGCAGATCAAGAATAAATTAGTAATTAGTAAAATTAGTAAACCTACAGATGGCGTACAAGATGCAGGGGAATTTTAAAAGATATTTTTAGAAAAATAAAGTGCGCCTTATATGCCGTCAAATACGGTTAATATTTTATCGAGATATTTTATAACATTTGAAAAAAAAATGGGCTATCTTTAAGAGAAAATTTCTAAGAACCAGATTATTATTTTTCTGTCTTCATATTCTATCCTCTCGAGAGTCTTTTTCACAAAGTAACAGTTCAGGAAATAAGCTGTCTAAGAGGAATGTAATATTTACAACCGGAACGGAAAAGAAATAGAATGATTTGCCACCTTGAACATGGTAGAGTAGCTCCTAGCTATGAATGTCAGAGCTGCTATGACTAAAGTATATATTTCGTTTGAACATTTATCTCGGTAACAGCGATAGGGCAGTGAATGGCTAGCAACGTTTCGTCTGTGGGATAAGGATGGAAATAAGCAATCACTCACAAAGTCGCTTAATCGTTTCAAACTCTTTCAAGCCGAGATATGACAGTGAGAAGTGAGCCACCTTAACCCAGATATCACAGCAATGCTCCTATGTTAGCCTGATCTGACCCTTTTAAAGATAATGGCAATTTGACCTTTAAAGAGCGATACACGGAAATATTTTGGGCGATGGTACAAATATACGCGTTTTTTTTTTTTTTTAGTTCTGGAGTGAGGACATCCAATAGGTATTTCAGGCAAGGTGACATATTGAAAGCATGCCCCTCACCACTCATCAGGACTTCAGTGTAAATCTTGCACGGTGGGGATGTA